AGTGATTGGCTATAAAATATTACTCAACTAGAGATTCATGAACAATCAGATAATAACTTTATAGTAAAAAAAGCAACAGAATATTTGAAATAGTATTTAGTACAACTAATAGCTATACAAGCACTCACAAATATTTAAGAAGAATTATTCAAACATTTTCAGTAGATAGTAAGTAAAAAAATCTTAAACAAAAAGAAGGATATCTTTTGAAGACTGCAAAACCAGGTATTTCTACTAGAATACTAACTTATGCATATAAGTAGAAAAATAGATAGAAACTGCTCTAATTGTTTATATGAAAGACAAATAATTAAATATTTTGCAATAGACTGTGAAATCATTTAGACAATTTGGAATAAAGAATATAGTTTCTTTAAAAACCAGAAAAAGAAATTTCTTCTTTAATATTGGAGAAAGTTTTTATAGTATCAAATATCTAAAATCAAAAGAAAAAACAATAGCGAAATGGCTTTATATTACGATTATATATAAGATCTGGTTATAATACAAGCCAAATAAGTAGCAACTATATTTCAGAAGATATAATTAGATATATTACAACAATCAGAATTCAGAAAAACCTTAAAGTCTTAAACAAGATATCAGAAAACAAAACAAAGAAAAAACTAGTTAGCTTCTTAAGACAAAACTACAAACTTTTTTTAATGATCCTCTGGACAATACAACAAAAAACCAAACTACAGAAAAATACTATAGGAAGATCCAAGAATATACTATTTGCAGTCCTGACTTTGAATAAGCAGTTGTCAATGAAGCCTATAGATGTAAAATATCGAGAAGCAAACATAACTTGAGCAGTTTTTCTTGGAGTCAAATCTTTGCTTTTGGTAGACTTCTTAAAATATTTGGCATCTAAACTAGAAGATTTATTCTGAGAACTGAACTTATTTTTGATCAGATTGCTAACAATAAAGCTTGAAAGATGTGAAATACTGAAAAGTAGACGTAACTTAAGTGATTTTTCTTGGGATCAAGCTTTCTTGTATTGTGGTAGATTCTCTAAGATATTGGTATCCAAACTAGAAAGTTTATTCAGTTGATCTTTAGTATAGGTAGACATATATAAATATTATATAATTATAATATATAAAAATTAAATATTTTAAACTAATTTAAATAATTTTATATATTATTAAGGTTAGGGTTAAGGTTAGAATTTAAATTAACTTAAATTAGTTAGGTTTTATATATTATAATCATGTAATTATTTATATATACCTATCTATACTAAAGAAGATCTATTTATTCTAAAAACAAGTAGTGGACTGACCCTCACTACAATAGTATAAGCTTAAAACTACAACTATACAACTATAAAACTTATAGAAGAACCTTACATACTTTCATTGGCTTCTACTGTTTTTTTTTAAAGAAAATTTTGTAAAAAGTGGGTGATTTAGTTTACTTCTCCAAAAGATTGATATATTGTTTACTTACCAAATTAAGCGATATTGTTTACATTATTACCTGCTACAACAAATATGTAGATACAAGAATGTGGATAACTAGATTATGTACCTCGAATGTAGTAACCCAAACAAACAATGCTCTAAACCCAACAGTACGAATTTCTGACCTTTCTATGGTGCTAACATCGAAGAAGCTTTTTCTCTTTTTTTGTTTTTTTTTAGGTTTAAGTTTAGATATACTATATATATAAATTAGTATAGAGAATAGTTTAGATAGTAGTATGTAATTTTTAAAGAGCCTGATATAGGCTTATAATTGTGACCATTCGGTGTGAGTAAAAAATCTTACATTTAGTTTAGTTTTTTTGTTTTTTTCACTTTCCCTTTGTTTTTTCTTTTATTTGTTTTTTTTACGTATTCCTCTATATTTCTGTATTTGTTTTAAAAATTTTTCTTTTTCTTTCACTTTCTTATAAGAAGATATCATCAGATTGGCAATATCTTATTGTAGAGTGGTAATCAGATGAGCTTTTGGTTAGGATATTATTTTAATTGATCGTATCTTGCTGGTGTAGTTAGGTCATCTGTAGATGAATATAGATAATCAGTTAAGTTATGTAAGGCAACCGCAAGATATCAAATCTACTCATTTAATATTATAATGTTTTCATGAATTTGGTCTTAATTAAATAAAAATATTGATATAATTTGTCTAAGTGAAAAAAAAATTAGCTTCTTAAATATTAATATATAATTGTAAATAGATAAACTTTACTACTTGTAATTATAGAATCTATTAAATAAAGTATACCAATTCATATTTAAAAAAAAAAAAAAAAAACTTTAAATTGCAAAAAATGAATTTTTTTAAAAAAAATAAAAAATAACAAAAATAAATAAGTTAATTAAAAAAAAATAAATTAGTATTATATATTATTTACAAATCAAAGTTTTTCAACTCTTTCTGATAATCATCTGGTCAACAAAAATCAAGAAACTGAACTACGGTCAGCACTATAGAAGACATTAAAGTAAATAATAAACTTGGTCCTACAAAAATAGATGTGTTGTCAACGAAGTACCAAGAGTATAAAACCAAGGCATGGTCTACTTTGGACTGGTTTTTGTAGAGGTCAAGCTCTTTTTCTGGCAGACTCCTCTATTATATTCGCATTCAAACCAAAAGGATATTTTGAAAACATAGAATGACAAGGTTGATACCAGGAGTATTATAAACTTTGGGTCTATCTATATAACCATAAAACTTGCAAGGAATAACTACAGAAAAGTTTCGTTGACCCACCACTTTCTTTGAAGAAATTTTGTCAAAAAGGGGCGTCTCAGCTTACCCTCTCCAAAAGATCAACATGTAATTTACCAAAACAGTTAGTATTGTTTACCTGTTTATGTTGTGAATGGGACCTTCTAAAACGGGAAAGCAGTCATCATCCAGAATAAGCAACTGAGTATGTATCATAGAACAATACAAACACATGCCTTGCTATTGAAAAAACCATTTAACAATATTTCAAGACTTCGGGTTCTGGTTTGGAATTTGGGCTGACTCTATCTAGTGGTGACTACGGTGCTCTAGCTTCAGCCAGCTTTTTTAACTTTTTTTACCCTTAAGCATAGTTTATTAGGATAGAGATTGTTATAAAGCTTTTTTATCTAATAATATGTAATTTTTTCAGCCTGACACAGGCCTTTAAATGTGACCTGTAAGATTTTTTTTCTTTCTTTTTTACCTATATTTCGTCTTTGTTTTTTAGTATTAGTTTTCATTTTTTTTTTCTTCCCCTATTTAGAATTAGGATTAGTATTAGTGGATTTTTTTTGTTTTTTTCACTTTTCTACGAAAAGATGTCATCAGATTGGCGGTATCCTATTGTAGAGCGGTGGTCTGACATGAGTTCTCGGGATTAACCCAGATATTAGGCTAAGGTTATCGAGGTTCTTTAATAGAAGTTTGGCCCGGTACGGCTGGTTACTTGTAAGTGCTTTTTGAAGTAATTGCAGAATATTAGGTCTAAATATTAAGCTTAACATTATGTGATTTACTCGTATAATAATCTTAATAAAGGATCACTGGCAAGACAACCAAAGTAAAAAATAAAAAAAATTATATATTATTTAATCTAGACTAATTATAGTGATCAAAAGTAATAGCATTAGTAATAGTTAACTAGACTTTAGTAAATATTGTTTTAGCATTATATATATATATATATTATGTGTTACTTCACAATTCCTGTTAGTTTCAAAATGATATACTTTAATTTAAAATTGCAATTTAACATTATACCAAATAATAATTGGTATAGCAACATACCAACTATATATATATTATGTATAGACTTAGCTTATTAAAATATTAAAAAAAAAATCAAAAAAAATCGATTACACATTAATTACCAGTAATTAAATAAGTGAAAAAAATAAATTATGCATCAAATATATCAGTGCTATACAATACCGATACTACAATTAATTGCTATGAAAATTATGCATCAAATACAACTATGTCATACAATACCAATACTACAATTAATGGCTATGAAAATTACGTATCAAATATATACACAATACTGATACTACAATTAATAGCAATGATTAATAATTCTTGCATTTACTTCTCAATACACAACCACAGTACCTGATACAAAGTGTATTGTTTTTTCAGCATAAACAACTTTTGGTTTTGCAACTGGTTCTACTACAATAGCAACCGTTATTTTTTTAGATTTATTTTCCTTCACTTGATTAATTGTTTGAGATTAGATAAATAGATCGTCATCATTATTTTGTGTTGTATGTTGTAAACATGTCAAATTTTGCTATGCGGTTGCATTTCTTAAAAGAATAAAGTTGTCAAGTAGAATAATATCAAGTGTTGAATATTTACTTGTACTAAGTAATTCTAATTCATTTGCTGAATACTACACTTTTTTAAAATTTTGAATTCACAACCAACTTGATAGGAATCAAGATTGTATTTTTTTGGATTACTTTACAAGATAAAGTATACCTATCCATCTTTAGTTTATCAATGTCTGGAATTCTGATTTTAACAAAATCTCCTGAATTAAAAATTAAGGGATATTTAGTTTTATGATGCTTTTTTATAATATTACGAATAATTTGACAGTTTTTTTAACATGTTGTATTGCTATATCATATATAGATTGATGGTAATCAAGGTATACATGTGATTGGTTTTTAATTAATATATTAGTATAGCTTGTTTTATCTAAATCTTCAATTGGTATATAACTTTCTTGATCCGAATCTTCAATTAATATATAAGAACAACTTGCTTGAATTGAACTTTTTGAAGTTAAATTTTCTAAGCTTGTAATTTTACACTATAATAATTAATTACAAAGTTAATGAAATATATTATTTTATTAGTATATTATTGTATAATTATATACTGTAATATAAAAATAAATTACATATACGTATTTAATTTATATTGTTATTCAGATTTAGTGCATGCCACTTTTTCTTTTTTGTTTATGAATCTGGATCATTAATATTGGTAAAGCTATTTTTACGTGATATAATTATTTAATCTTCATTTAAATTGTTAAATTCAAGATCACTTTTATTTGAATTGTTAGATTCAAGATTGGCTTCATTTGAATTGTTAAATTTAAGATTATATTCTTTATCGCTATCATCATTTATTGTAATTATCTCTATATCATTTATAAATAAAGATTTTTCTAAAAAAATTTATAAATTAAATGTATTTATAATAAAAAAATACAAAAATATTAATATAAAAATTACCAGTTTTTAGATTTAATTGATTAGTTGATGTTTGGTTTTCTAATAAAATATTTTTTCATTTACAATATTTTGTTGGTAAAGTATCGAGATAATTCGTAAATCTGCTTGGGGTTCTTGACCGAATACTAATTGATATAGCATTATTTTTGTTGCATTACACACTTGTGTATTATTATTTTATATTTATTTATTTATTTATTTATTTTTATTTTTATTTTTAGATATATTTAGAATATATACATAATTGTTTGAAATATTTTACAACCTATTACTAGGCTATGTTAACCTAATACAGAAACCTAACAACATTACCCAGCTGCCCAAATAGGTACCCAGATATATCCTTGTTGCACTACCAGCACACTATGACTGAGGCCAATACTTGTGGTCAAAGTACCTCCTAACTTTGTAGAAGCATTTTCATTAAATTACTGAGCGGTAGAGGAGGATTATACCTGTACTGATGCTACTTCTGCATTCTGAAACTACTATATTTAGCTAAGCCTATGTTTTCTGCTTCTATCACATTGCTTCTGTACAACTTCCAAATTGGTAATATTCAGGTTATAGATCTTTATAATCTCTCAGTTTGGTATACCATATTATTGTTTTTTCTAAGATATTCTGATATTGGTCCAGAATCTGCAGGAACTCATATCTCAAGCCAGAAACTGCTGCCTAGTTAGGTTCACCACATAACAGTATTGATATTTCATTGTTGGTAATCTCTACCACTTATCTGCTCAGATACTACTAACTTGTATCTTAAGCTAGTTTCTGCTATGCAGCTCAATACAGATGCTCCAGATCTTAATATTATATAGTTACTTGGCACCTTCTTCAGTTCTTCTAAGTACTACCTGCTATGATAAGTTTAGAACATATTTCACAAGCATTCAGAACAATTCTGGTTATACCCAGGGAGTTCACTGACCCTAGTAATTCCATACTACTATATAATACTTGCTTCTAGCATATTGTCATACAATACCAGGACAATTTTGGGTATTTCTAGGGAGTTATACTGATCTCAATAATGCTGTACTACTATTTGTTATTGTAAACCTTAGAGGTTGGTAGATCCTAGACTTGTTCATCATAAACTTCCATATAGGTGTAATCAAAGCCTGATTCGGTACCTTTATATATACACAGAATATCAGACAACTTTTATAATTTTAGCCTTCTATAGTGTCTTCATTCTGCATTGTCAGAGGTGCTTCTGATTCTAATAAGGCCAATCCTTTACTACACATGTTCACTATTTTTCTCACCATTTTTAACTTTGGTTATAACAATCACCCTTCCAAGCAAGTACCTGTATTTTTTTTCTATATAAAGACTTATTTGCGCAATCTATTAACTACTCTTTCAAGCAAGTATCCTACAAGTTGGATGTAGGGATATTGGTATTGCCAAACTTGAAGATACAAGGATATTGGTGCTACCCCATCTCTTAAGAACTTATTTGCGTAATATTCATAGCTACAGTCTTCTGTAATACCATAGTTACATAAAGTACCAATGCTCTATATTTAGATTTTCTTCTAGAAATTCCTATTCTAGCTTCATATCTGTACTTGGACTTGGCCACAGGGCTCTATATTCAATTATGGTTTCCAAAGGTTACAGAAACAAATTATTTAATTTGCTTTCAGCCCAACTTGAACTGTCGACCTTGTCTGTAGAGTTTGAGAGCTTAACTAATAAGCTATAGGTCCCAAACCCTATTATTTTATATTTAATTATATTATCAATATATTTAAATATATAATAAAAAATATTTAAAGTTATTTACAGATAATAAATAGCAAACCAATACTCTATTTGTTATGTTTAGTTTCTTTATTCATGATTCAAGTTTTGTTTGTAAAATATTGTTTCCTTTCTCAATAGAACTTTGACACTGTGAGTATCTTGGCCTCCCATATATAAATTTAAATAATGGCCAAAGTTTTATAGTTTCTTTTACAATATCACTAATGAACTCACTGCCATTATCAGAATATAAAATCGAAAGTACACTATATTTAAACAAAATTGCAAAAGAAAACAAGCTGCTTCAATTGCAGATTTTGTTTTTGCAAGCTCTGCTACAAAAAATCTTGTAAAATGATCCTGTATATGAATAATATATTTAAATTTGCTATCTGGTATTGTCATCATGTTTATAGTGTTAATCTTTAAAAAAAATTAATTTTAAAATTAATTTAAAATATAAATAAAAAATATATATAGTTAATCAATTATAAAACTTACTTGAATATGAGCAAAAAATTTCTCAGTGATTATAGATTTCATAGCAGGTGCATGTTTTGTTATACATCATGTAATACATATATTATATTGCTTTACTGCATTTTCTACTATTGCTTGAGATATAAAACAATATCTTTGCTAAACCTATTATATATATATAAACATAAGTATATTTTATTTGAAAAAAATTTTTTATTAATTTTAATAAAAACTTGTCTTTAACCATATTTTTTTTGACCGCCATGCTCTGTGTTTTGATGAGCTTGGCAAATTATATTGTAAAAATTTTCAATTGGACAAACTTGTATTCCACGATTATTGTTTTCTGACTTAATGTTTAGTTCTTCAATAATGCTAACTTTTACTAATTTAAACAATATGTTACCCAATATTTAAAATTTGGATTTTCATATTTACTTTCAGAGTTTTGTAAAAGAGTTAAACAACAATTATATTTTGATCAATTCATTATATATCTTTTATTTTTTCGATTATTTATATAATCGTTTACAATTTTTTCAAAGACTTGAGAAAAAAGAAATGAAAAAACTATTGAGTTATTAGAGATCATATTGATATTAAAAGAAAGAAAATAAATATTGGTAAAGTTTTTTTTAATATCAATTGTAGCTTTTTTATATGATTAATTATATGATTAATTATATGATTGATTATATGATTAATTATATGATTGATTATACGATTAAAAAAAAATTTATAATTAAATTTGAGTATAGTTAATCTCAATATACATTATATTGCAATTAGTATAAATTTTGAAATAACATATATTAATTTGAAATCCAGAGATATTATCCTTTAAACCGTATTCCAGGCAAATTTGCCTGGAAAATTTATTTGTATTTAGTATTTTTTAAATAAAATAATAATTTATTAATGATATGGAGTATATATTTATTATAAAATATATTCTTGAAAACATATTTTATAACTTTTATTATAAAAG